CGTTCTCTCTCTTTCCCCTTTCCCCTGTCCCCTCACCCTGATTGCCGCCTTGTTGCAGAAGACGCGGGTGACGGCGAGCCAGGTGGGCAGGTCCAGCATGTTCTGCAGGACTTCCTCGTCCAGCTCCAGGTTGGACAGTTGACCCTCGCCCTTCAGCGTGCTCAGGTTGATCTTGTCAGGCGAGAGGTTTTTGGTGAACCTGAGGCAGGGGAAAGAGAGACCCACCAGCGTTGAATTGCGAAGGTCTTGCTAATGCTGCTTGGACTCTGTTCAGATTCATCATAACATTTTTCCTATTTAGAATGCTTCTTCACACTGCATTTCCAAGTGCTACAAGATTTTACCCACGACTAAAAGGATTTTACCATGTTCTAATCGAGGTTTACTACAGCTAGGGGCAAAAAAATGGAAACACCAATAATAAGTCAATGACCCAAAACCATGGGTCATATCAACACCAATGGTAAGGGCGTTGGGCCACTACTTTCAGCCAGTATAGCCTCTATATGCCACAGCATAGAGTCCGGCACCATTCCTCCACAAGAAAGTCAGTCAACTTGTGCCTGGATGATATAGAGGTGGAAAACTGACTCAGGTGTCATTTCAGAACCTCCTACAAGTGCTGGATTGGGTTTAGATCTGGGTTCAGGATAACATCAGTGTTGTGATCATCACTGGGTGACCATACGTGCTCTGTGGAAAGGGGCACAATGATCATGGGAGAAACCCATGGGAGAGCCATGGGGTGAAAATGGTGACTCGGCAGTATTGAGCAGCAATTAACATTGACCTTGCATTCTACAGGAATGAGTGCACCCGATTCATGCCAGGAAAATGTGCCCCACAGCATTATGGACCCACCAGTCATTAAGGTTGGTGCCACTCTTGCACTTGTCTGTTTGTCAAGAACAGGGAGAAGGATGATTCATGTGAGTTTTCCACTTCATCACTTTAACTAAGAGCAAGTGCTATAGAGATGAATGCTGACCTTATTTCCTGCAATAATGAAATCACAAATGTGCAATGAATTGCACATTATCTAGTGTATTGCCAGAACTCATTCACAGAACCGCAGACGGTTAGGGGAAAATGTGTCTTTTCATTGTTTGAGTTGTGACATGGCATCTAGAAATTGCTCTCTATCACATGTGCTCATCTTCCTCACCGCGTGGTGCCCCATGCCTGGACTGACACTGCCTTTAGAGCGGTTTCCCAACAAACACCGGATCACACGCCACTTTCACCAGATCGGGCCGTGACCGCAGAAAGATGTTGGAAGCAGGATCGTCACTTGCCAAGAAATCCGTGGTCGACGGTAATGGCATTGCTAAGATGTTCTAAGAGATATAGACGCTTTTCATCACAAGGAAATCAGGGAATGGGACCCGATAAACCAAATACGTGCTGCAGTAGTCAAAACTGCAACAGCCCACAGCAAAACAACTCGGGTGGCAAAACCGATCCCTGCAGAAGTCTCATACCTGAATATTGCATTTTCATCTTCCAATTGATTAAGACTTTGTAAACTACTGCTTCATGTAAGGAGGTATAAGAACATTTCTCTTCCAAGCACCCCAATCTCTTAAGGTCAGATCTGCTTTGTAGCCTTTCCTCAGCTGTCCCTTGTCTTACTTTCTCACAACTGCCAATTGTCACGATCATAAACCCCTCCTCTTAAGGACGCTCCAGCCCTTCCTCGTTTACCTAATCTCCTACACCTGCCTCCTGATCCAGTCTCCCCTTTAAAAGCCAGACGCTCCTACCAATCTGGGCTCAGCTTTGGAAGATGGACGCTCAGAACCCCGCCTACCAGCGAGTCCAGGACTTCACAACGGTGTCCTGATCATCTGGGTCTGGGAGCACCTGGCCCCGTTACCCCTTTTTATTCCCCTGAACCTTTGCCGGATCCTGCTCCGGCTTTTAACTCTTGTCTGGTCTGTCAGGATGGATCACCCAGCTTTGGACATTGGCTTTCCCAGGATATTCTCACCGACTCCCTTTGGACTAGTTTGTCTTGTGTTGTCTCACTCCTCTCCGGATTCTGCTGTCTGCATAGGGTTCTGAAAAACGCATTGTGACACCAATAATCCAGGAGGCCAAGCAGCTTCTCTAATTATTAACCTCCTTTCTTGGATCTTTCTTGATGAGGCCATTAAGCCAAAGCTTTTGGAGATAGAAGATTTGGAAGAGTGAGAGGGCTCCATGTTTGGCACACCAGACTCCAGAACGTGTCCAGGTAATGAGCACTACAGAGACTGATTCAAGGGTTTCGGCTAGGGGATGCTGGATTATGTTGTACAAATATCCCCCATTTGTGGGAGCTGCTATGGTAAGGACATCTCCCTTATTAGTCACTATTTTAAAAAAGGTAAAGATTCCCATTAGTTCAACATTTATGTGAGGGCTTTATTTGATATATTTTATTTCAGTTGCGGGGTAGAGTTCCATATTTTTCTGTAGAAGACAGGGCTATGTCATATTTACCAGCTAAATATCTGCACATAATGGTGCAGATGTTGTGTATATTACTGTTGGTATATTACTGCAAATTAATCTGTCTTGTAAAATTTGCTTCCTGGTTTATTATTTTGTTTCCCACTACATGAGAGAACTAAGGAAATAAGCGTCTAGAAATTCTTCTGCAAGATATTCCCTGACCACAGTGGAAGTGGAATTGTTAATAAATGTCTTGCAAGGCAAGCTTTGGGTCCCAAAGATGGTGTCGGGACCCAGTTTTCTTTTAAATAGGTTCAGCCTCCTGTCTTCAAATGTTCACAAGCCCCTGGGTGTAATATCATTTTTAAAAACAAAAGTAAGGACACAAGCAGACAAGAGGTCATTTCAACGTGACCCGAGTTAACTCCAGGAGATCGTAGGGCTCCTGTCGTACTGCATTTCGATGAAGAGGTAAACGACAAAAATCGCAGTCCTTCCTGTCTAAACCTCCTATGCCTGTGATTTTGAATTACAGAAAGAAACAATCTTATCCAAAAAGTGGTGGATTCTTCCAGGATCAAACCAGCGATACCAAAACAGAGACACAGAAGCAGGAGCAGCATGATCTTCAGATTAGCAAGTAGGTGTCGTGAGAGGACAGCAAGGTGGAATTTCACAAATGCCCTGGAGAGTACGGGTGGAGTGTATAGCTAGGTCCATGATAACTTAAGAAAAATGGGAAACACTAAAACCATCCAAAAACAAACCTCTTGGACCCTCCTACGTTACAGCTGTTATAATAAAAATAAACTTTATTTTATATAGCGCCTTTAAAGGTGGCTTCTCAAAGCGCTTTACAGGATGACAATAACAGTAAATAAGAAGACTACAACAATAAATAAGAAAATTTCACAAGACAGGACACAATTATAATTACAACAATAACAATAGAGGAGACCTTGGAATATGGTATTAAGAAGAGCAGAGGGGTGAAGAATGGAACCAGTTAAGTAAAGGCTTTTCTGAAAAGGAGGGTTTTGAGTCTGGATTTGAAGGAGTTTAGAGAAGGTGACTCTCTAATATCCTTGGGCAAAGAGTTCCAGAGCTTGGGGGCATAGCAGGAGAAGGCCCTGTCGCCCATACAATGTAGACGGGCTTGGGGGACAGTAAGGAGGGCAGAATTTGAAGAGCGGAGGTTGCGAGGTGGGGAGTAGGGCGATAAACGTTCAGACAGGTATTGAGGTGCCAAGCCATGTAAAGCCTTGTAGGTGAGCATGAGGATTTTAAAGTCTACGCGGAATTTGACCGGAAGCCAGTGCAAGGACTCCAGGATAGGAGTAATGTGAACACTTGCACTAGACCTGGTCAGGATTCTGGCTGCTGAATTTTGGACATACTGCAGCTTGTTCAGAGTAGATTTAGATACCCCAGGGAGCAGAGCATTGCAGTAGTCAATTCGAGAGAATACAAATATGTTGATCAGCTTTTCAGCCACAGTTAATGATGGCATAGGGCGTAGTCTTGCGATATTTCTAAGGTGAAAAAAAGATGTTTTGACAGTATGCTGTACATGTGGATCGAATGTTAAGCCAGAATCGAATATAACCCCAAGGTTTTTCAATTTTGATTGGAGCTCAAGTACAGAGCCATCTACAGACAGGGTTACAGGACTGGCTTTATGAAGTTGATGGGGGGTACCAATAAGCATGACTTCAGTCTTGTCACAGTTAAGATGAAGGAAGTTTTGAGTCATCCAAATTTTTATATGTCAGAGATGCAATTAGATAGAATAGAGACAGCCACATCAGTGTCGGGTTTGGTATGGATGTATATTTGAGTATCGTCAGCGTAAAAATGAAAGCTGAGGCCATGTGATCTTAAAAGCTGACCAAGTGGGAACATGTAAATGCTGAAGAGCAAGGGGCCCAGTATTGAGCCCTGAGGGACACCAGACTTGACAAGACCAATTTCAGACCTGTACCCATTGAGAGAGACAAAGTGACAGCGATCAGTGAGGTAAGACTTAAACCATTTGAGGGCAGTGTCAGAGACTCCAAACACAGTCTCGAGACGAGAAAGCAAGATGTTATGGTCAACAGTGTCAAAGGCAGCACTGAGATCAAGAAGGATGAGTATGGAAAGAGAACCAGAATCAGAAGCTGTTCACAGCCCACATCACAGAGCTGCTGTAGTTTAGTCAGTTCAGCAACCCAGGTAGGAAGAAATATCCAGAGCCCTATTTTTACATATTTACCCGAACACTAAAAATATATTTGTTTTTACTGGATTCAAACTGCTACACTTCAAATTAACAAGCAGGTGTCTGAGAAGACACAAAGCCGAGGAAAAAGAAGTCTGGTTTGTGTTACAGCTCTAGGACGGTTTTTTTTTAAGCTAATAGGCAAGCAGTCAAGTGAAGCCTGTCATAGGGAGGAACGCTGCCAGCTCATTTATGGACTAAACTCAACAGATAAATTCTATTCACTGCAGGCATCTTTAAAGCCTTCGGCCCACCTCATGAAGTCCAGGATCAAGAGAGGCTTAGGGCTCACATTAAAATAAGACCGTGACAGCGACTCTTGTGAGGGGAGGCCAAAGTTCTCAAACTTTTCCAAAACAGTTACCGTGCTGTTCCACACTGGTCTCCTACAGCCTCTTTCTAGTGTGACAGCGTGGGTGGCTGGGCATTTCTGCATGTTAAGCAGGGCATTTTCTACATTGCTGATTCCGAACGTCAGGGAACGTCTCGGCAGTGGATGAGTCCATCTGCCTAAATCTGCTCTAACAGGACTAGAACAGCACCACTCCGAACTGTATTTCTTGAACGCAGCACGTGTGCCGCGAGATCATGCATGATAATGGTTGTTAACCAGAGCGTAGCCATCCAATAACATGATAGCGTAGCTGAACAACACATGTGGCAGCTGCCATGCAAACACCATTCTCTCGCGTATTATAACAGGTGCTGCATTTGTAACTCACAGGGTGCTGGGGATCAATGTGAACAGGAGGGAGTGGATGTATGAAGGGCAACGCAGGTTCCAGAACACTTCACTGCGATACGCACCTCACAAGCAAGGCACCAGTGCAGGGTCAAGCTATTGCTGTCAATAACATGAGAAGTAACACAGTTTATAGATAGTTTATAGTTAGTAACTTTAAATGCCTTCAATAATCTGTCTGTGGTGGACATTTGTTTAAATTGATCATTGATGATGGTCTGTGATCAATGTGCTCCCTTTAGCCATTCATCTATTTTCTAACCACTTCTTCCACTTCAGCGTCCCAGGGGAGCCAGGGCCTATCCTGGCAAGCAATAGGTGCAAAGCAGGAGACCCTCTGGATGGGATGCTAGTCCACTGCAGGGCAGACAGACTCACACTCACACTCACACTCACACCAGGGCCAATGAACCTGTCAGTATGTCTTTGTACTAAAGGAGGAAAACCTGGAAGAAATCCAAGCATCACACAGACAGTACCCATGGAATCGAACCCAGAGTCCCAGAGCTGCTAGGCAGCAGTGCCTACCACTATGATACTGTACCACTCGGTGTCCCCTTCAGCTTTTACAAAATACTAGGTGCAGCTAAATCATGCCTGGGCTCGTGCACGTTCCACAACCCTTTACGTGAGCAGAGGTCATGGATCATGTTCCCAAGTCCTCAAACGGTTTCCAGGGAGCCTACCTTTCTCCACGTCACGCTGCCCAGAGCAGTTTCTTCCATGATTAGCTCTGTGTGTTTGGATTGATGAAATTCAAACTGTTCAGTAGTCCAAACACTCAGAAGTCCTTGATGTTGATTACCCAGATTAACATCGTCTTGATGAACCTTCGGGGGCTTCTCACTCCTCATTTTGTTCCTACCCATCAGCGACCACGTCAGCAGCACAGCTCACAACCGCCTGCTGGCTTCTAGAGGGTTTAACAGTTTTCAGAAGCAATTGTTCTGGTAGTGCGTCTGTATATTTTACTGCCTGTTTGCCATTTGTACACAAATGGGGTTAAAAATGCACAATTAAAAAAAGCCTTGAGAGGTCCTGGAGGGTGGACAGTCTGACACTGAGCACGTTCTGGCTCAAAAGAAGCACAGATTACAAGCAGGAGTCTTTGTTTTAAGTGCTGCACAGTAAATGATTCATCGCTCTGATTCCTACAGCAAGCCCTGCACCAGTACAACTGACATCAGCTCCAAGTGTAGAGGCAGTAGGCAACCACAGGGGTCGCTATTGAGCGGCAGGGGGAGGAGATCTTGACTCAGGCTCTGAAGGCACAGAAGTAGTGGGATGCCACTGTGTACACCGCCCCGGTCCTAGCAGAGATATCTGGATTACAAAGGGCTTCAGCCAGCATTAGATCCAGCGCCTTTCCACAGCAGTGAGTCCCAATCTCCACCAGGCACTGGAAAGCTTGCAGCAATGTCCATGGGCTCCTCCAGATCAATGCTACTTCTCCCTTGAAGCCAAAAGGCAGGGAAGGAGCAAGAATGGCCAGAGTCAGACCTGCAAGAGTCCTTATTACTCCTTTTGCCATTTCAGAGGCTGTAGCAGAGAGCCCAGCTGATTAAACAGGATCAACGAATTTCAACCTGGGCAGATATAAAAACAATGGCAAAATATTCCACATCGTCAACCATCAAAAAAAAAAACAACAGACACAGGAGACATCACTACAGCATAACCCAACAATCAGCAGGGATACAGTGGACCCCTTCGCAGTGACCTTAGGCCTAGATTTCTAATTGAACTAATTAGAGGTCTTTCAGGCAGCTTTCACATTCCACACATTCTCGTGCTCAGGAGTCTGGGAAGAGCCTGTGTGCGGAGCTGCACTGAACACAGTGCTGCTTTCAGCAGCAGTGTCTGCTATGTAGGAGACGGGTGAACACTCATTTCTGCACAGCTGTTTTGAGGCAGAACACGACGACAGTTGTGCAACATGGCTACGAATGCAAAAGGCAAGAATAACTGCATGACACTATGCTGCACGGGAGGCACACAGACTAAACAGGATCAGCTCACAGAGTACTCGCTCAGGTGCAGGATGCAGTACGCGCTCAGGTGCAGGATGCAGGCTGCCTGTGGTCCACACTTCTTTTGGGCCTTGTGCGGTATTGCTGTGCGATGGACATCCACGCCGACAGCCGGACTTCACACACGTCAGTGCTAACATGGGCGCCGAGACCAGGTTGTCAGCCGTATCAGAAACATCATGATTCCGTTTAAAAAAACTAAGCGGCTGATAGCCACACCAGATAAAACGGATCTGATAACAACCGCTTCCTTCCTGCAAAACCCCTGGGTTGCGTCTGGTATGAGACCTTCTCGGTTTTCGTCTGCCTTTCCTTTTCTCTTGGTTGGGAGAAAAAAAAAAGAAAGAAAGAGTTTCCAAAGAAACTCAGCTCGGCTGTAACTGGAAGTGGCCACAACCCAGGGTCCTAAAAGGTTGCAAAGCCACAAAGTAGAAAAAAAAATCAATATTCCTCATTGCTACAGGCGGACGAAGTGCAAATGAGCCCTGACTCGGGCCTGCGGCAAGGACTAGGCTGTCATCACACAGGGCTCTCCATGTTCAGTGTTTCGAGATGTATGTCCAGCATGGCGCTCTTCCAAACCAGGATCATTCCTTCATTGCCAATCCGCCTTGCACACAGACACACGGAGGAACCTCCCTGCGCGTTTTTATGCAGGGGTCAAACAGACGCATCGCCACGAGCAAAACCCTCCCCCCCCCCAAGACGAGCCAATGAAACGCTTTGGACCTTCCAGCGCTAGGAGTTAAGGAGGGTGTTCACGTTACTCTACCGCCGCTCACTCCAGAGACGGGGGAGGAGGCCCCTCCTGCACAAAGCAAACAAGCTGACAGACCCATGAGAATGTCATGGTGCTCTCACAAGCTTCTTGGAGTGTTCCTCTTATTATTTTGGTCCAACTCTGACCCTCCTCCCCCCCCCTCAAACCGACATGCTGGGAGACAGCTGACATCACTGTCTGTTGTTGACTCCAGCAGAGAAAACAAGTCTGGAGTCCTGAGAGCACTGCCAGGCCCCGAGGCAAACAGCCAGCCCTGCCCTGGTGCCCTGGACTGTGTCCTGATGTTTGTCTGCAGCCCGTCTCGCACACTCCCTTAGCAAACTGCTCAAACACACACACACACACCTCCTTCAGGCTCTGCAGTCACTTCTGCTTCCCTCTTCTTGTCTAGTTCCCTCGCGCCCCCACTCCCTTGTGGGGCTCTTAGTGTCGCGCAGCGGTTCAAGTCTGTAAGAGCTGCCATTTCCCATAAGGCAGAACAAGCTCATCAGGAGAGCACGCTCTGTCATTGGGTCTGACCTGGACCCCTTGGAGGCAGTGGCTGAGAGGAGAATGATGTCCAAACTAGAGGCCATCATGGACAACTTCTCCCATCCCCTCTATGACAGGCTTGAAGAAATGAAGAGCACGTTCAGCAATAGACTGATTCATCCACGGTGCGACAGGGAGCGCTACAGGAGGTCATTCTTGCCTTCTGCCATAAGACTGTACAACACATCCACCTTGCGTCTGGGCAGAGGCAACATCGACAGTGACCTGTTTCTGGACTGAACGCATCTACACATCTACTGCTACATCTGTTCTCTTTTTCTTTTTCTTTTTCCCATTTACAACCGTTTTTTGTGCAATATATGCCAGGGACCTGTGCAATACATTTATATCTATATTTATATCTATATTTACATCTATATTTATATTCATATGTGTGATACGATTTTTCTGTGTACTATTCTGTTCTAGTTTGTTCTTTGTGTGTCCGGACTGTGAGTAACTCTTGTATTGTATTGTATTGTATTGTATGTATTGTACTATTATTATATAATTCGTTACACTGTGGCTGTGTTGTGTGTGTTAAGTTGCTGTTGCACTGCAATTTCCCTCACGGGATCAATAAAGTATCTATCTAATGCTTCTCACTCTGGGGGTTTCCTTCATTAGACCAGGTGTCTTTTCCGGCACTAGAGTCACCCTGAAAAGTGTTACAGCCTGTCATCGCTCTGATAAGCCAGACAATTGCAAAGAAGACGTATGCAGGTCAAACATTAAGGAACCAGTGCTGTTCTCTCAGAGACACAGAGAACTGGAGAGACACCAGGAGTAGGTTTGTAGAGATTACGCTAACAAACTTTCCAGTTACTGGAAGCACTGGCTAATACATAAAGGAAAAGACAAAAAGCTAGATTGGTTGTGTTGGGCTTTTCTTCAAAAGGTGGTTTATGTTGTTTGTTTGAATTAAATCGGGTGTCTACAGATAGGCCTGTAAATTTGAAAGTATCAATTTCAGATTGTGAAAAAAATAAATAGAATGGTTTTAACCCCAGTATGCCATATTAGAGAAAGAGTTGGAGTTTATCTGACGTTAGAAAGGGCAGCACTGCAGTACTGAAACACAACCTCTCCTCTGAACCATAAAGTACTGATGCTCCAGCTGCTCATCAACGAAGTAATCAGAAGAAAATAACTTCAAAACTATACACTAGTATTGAATAAATGAAAACAAAGATTCAACAGAATATGTTAAAAGAAAATGAGAATACAATATCTTCTAATCAGTGGATGAACATATGCAAATTTCAACAAACCTCCAGAAGTTCACATACATGGAGAAACTTCTACTGGTAAAGAACTTAATTCATTTTTTAATCAGGCCTAAAATACAAGTTAAACAAAAGGAACATCACAAATGCCACTTCACAGTATTGGAGGTTACGTGGAGAGCAGGTAGCAAATCACACAAATATTCAGGTACTGCCTATAGATACACCAATATTCACAATTGTTATACATAACTCTTAATAAAATAGTTAATTTAATGATACCTTTTGAATTCTCAGTTATGCACCAGGAAAACTTTTCAGCTGATCACATTGAACCAAAAGAACCAAAAGACAGAAATAATTTATGAATTCTTCTAGCTGCAAGTAAAAAAAATGATGACAATAAAAAGGCTCATTAAAGAACAGGGGATTGATATTGTGACTGAGATTTGTAATGGAACGGTTGAACAAATATTGTTTAACCGGGGAAACATTAATGTCTCCATTAAGACCTCATCTCACTTTGTGAAGTAAAATGATATAATATTTAGTGCCGAACTTTATGTCTTTCTTTTAAATTGTTTTTGTCAGTGCAGATTTGAATCAGTTATGTTTCTGTATATAACCCCACTGTCAATACATATAAATAGCTATACATTTAATATTTTACTCGTAAATGGTTTCTTTAATAAATAATAAGTAAAAAAAGTACTGATGCTCACTTTCAGCTGACTAGGACAGAAATTTTAAAGTCTTGACAAAATCAAATGATTTTCCAATTAGCTTGGATAATAACAGTGACCGAGTATCCAGTGAGGATTGTAAATTCACTAGAAAACCACCTTCAAGCCTCAAGAGTTAAGCAAGGCTGGGCCTAGTCAGTACCAAGATAGAGGATCTCCAAGGAAAACGCGGCTGTTTCTGTAAGAGATGCTAGTGGACCAGCAGGAGGGGCTCCCCCCCTTTGGACCTGCATTTCCAAAACCAGTGCCCAAGTATGGAAACCTGGCACAGGGTGATGCAGGAGGCTATGATCCTTCACATGGGACATTAAATAAAGGTAATGACTGCGTGGACATCAAAGAGCTCATGGAATGGAAGAGTAGGGGTGGCAGCCCCAGAGTCCGGGATCCCACAGTCGAGCTTTCCTAACGTTCTCCTTTAATACCCCCTGGTGAAGAAACTTCCCAGTCCCCCTCCGATCTGCTGCGTAGTGGGCCTGCAGGTGCAGAACAGAGCAGGCGGGAGCGGAACTTCAGTGTCTCTAACAGGGAGGGCAGTATAGGACTGTGGAAAGGGGGCTGAACCACCAGAGGTCGATGTTGAGCCAGTCCCAGATGGGCATTCTCGGTAGGACATCAGGGAACTGGCTGCACCTGGGGTCACCAGTTCTCTATAAAAGGCCTCACAGAGGAGACAGAGGTTGTCTTAGCAGACCCGCACAGACATTTTGGACGGTGAGATTCTCTGGGGGGAAATCTTTACAAGTTTTGGGTAGGTTAAAAGAAAGGACAAGACCTACCTATACTTGGTTGCCATGCCAGCCGGTAAGAAAGAAGACAGGCAAGAGTGGACTGGCCTAAACGCGATGGACCAGGTGAGGCATTTCCACACCTGCTCGTGGAGTGAAACCGTGATTTCAGAGGCTGAAGTTTTACATCGGGGTGGTGCCCTCGTCTGTTTGGTTTCCTATTTTAGAGATGATTTTGTGTGCCTTGCTATGCTACCATCTCAGGGGCATCTGTTACAGTGGTGAAGGAAGTGGGTACCTGCCATATTAAAAGCATTTTCAGATCTTTCTGGATGAACAGCGCCACATCAATTATTCACTTCTGTATGCACACGCAAAAGCCCTGTGGTGGGTAAAGATGGCTCAGGATAAGATGGTATTCTAGCTTCCTGCATCCTCGGAGTTGCACTTATCATAATCCCTTCCTGTCTTTCAAAGCTCACTCTTTCCTCTTCCTCCCCTGTAGAACAGCTGGGATGTCTCCATTCTGTTTGTTTTGCCTATCTGTTTGGGTGCTCTCTCTCTCTCTCTGGTCTTTCATCTTCTCAATTCAATTCAATTCAAGGTGCTTTATTAGCATGACCGATGGGTACAATCAGTGTTGCCAAAGCAAATAAAAATAATAAAATTAACATAGAACAAAACAAAAAATAGAAGTAAAATAAAATCTACAGACATGTTACAGACATTTACAACAAAGACATATTATATAATATTGACATATACTGTAGGCGGCTGGAGCATTATTGGGAGACGGACTCACTGTTCCTCAGGCTGTGACAGGAGATCACATACTGGGCTGCCAGATCAACTGAGTTCCCTCCTCCCTCTCCCAGTAGGATTGGGACCTGTTGTGGTTTTGGCAGGTGTGGGAACTCTGGGATTAGATTTCTGAATTTCGGGAAGAATGTTTCTCTAATCCCAGAGTATCTGTCACAGTGCAGTAGGAAGTGCACCTCTGTCTCTATTTCTCCCTGCTGGCAGTGGGAGCACAGCCTGTCCTCTCTGGGCAGCCAGGTCTGCCTGTGTCGCCCAGTTTCTATGGCCAGGTTGTGGTCACTGAGCCTGTACTTCGTCAGGGTCTGTTTCTGTTTGTTATTTTTTATTTTGGTCAAATATTCAGCTAGTGTGTATTGTCTGTTTAAGGTTCTGTAGCATTCCAGTTTATGTTGTGTTTGTGTGTGTGTGTGTCCCAGTGTGTGAGATATTGCTGTTTGATCTGTGCTGTGATGTGGTTGAGTCTGGGTTGTGGTGCTCTAGCAGTGCTGTCCTGAGGCTGGTTAGTGTTGGTGTGGTTCAGGTCGGTGAGCCTCAGGACCAGCTGGCTCAGGGGGCTCTGTTTTGGGCTCAGCTCTTGGCTCAGCAGGGCTTTGTGGTGGTAGGAATTTTGGTCACTGTTTTTTAGGTGTAGCCAATACTTTAATATTCTTTTCTGTATGTTTATCAATAGTGGGTACTGGCCTAATTCGGCCCTGCACACGTTGTTAGGAGTTTTTCTCTGCACACGGAGGATGATTCTACAGATCTCCATGTGCAGAGTTTCTGTGGGGTGTTTGTCCCATTGGGTGTAATCCTGGTCTGTGAGGGGACCCCACACTTCACTGCCGTATAGGGCAATGGGTTGGATTACACTTTCAAATATTTGGAGCCAGATTCTTGTTGGTGGGTTGATGTTGAAGAGCCTCCTTCTTATTGCGTAGAAAGCCCTGAGTGCCTTCTCCCTCAGTGCCTTCACTGCCAGGTCAAAACTCCCGGAAGAGCTGATGGTGAGACCGAGATATGTGTAGCTGGATGTGTGCTCCAATGTGTTGTTGTTCAGTGTGAATTTGTACCTGTTTCCCTGAGGTCTGGCTTTCTTCTGGTAAACCATAACTCTGGTCTTGTCCAGATTTACTGTCAGTGCCCAGGTCTGACAGTACTGCTC